ATTTTTATTTTTGAGAAATGCAATCTGCACTCTTTTACCAAAAAAAAAGTTAGAAAAATAATGATATGAACAGCAACTTCAAATTTAAGATAATTTATGGTTTGAAAATTCAAAAGCATGCCTACCTGGGAATGAACACAGCATCATTATTGGTCAGCACAAAGCTAAACATAAAGGGAAATGTTAAAACGTTTTCAAACCTGTTTTATAGACACAAACTTATACAAGTAATGTCAAGTTAGTCATACAGGGCAAAAAAAACAACCACCACCAATTAGATTGTTTAGGAGTAGTATCTAGTATTTACATGTTTTTAAAATATGTGTTACATACACATCCATATATACATACATTCTTTTTTATATAATAATATATATATTCTTACTTTTTAACATATATACATATAATGTGATCTATATATATCCTACTATGATTCAAGATTAAATATGATATTCGTATTAAGAATTTCTGGTATAGCATGGCTAATTCTAACTGGAAACAGATTTATTCTCATTCACTGACAAATTCCTCAGAACCCTTCCCCAGGTTGATCTCTCACTTCTAAGGGGGAAGACCTCATTCAGATCCATGCAGACGCCACCTGGTGGGCAATGAACCAACCCCAACAGACACTTGCACCCACAGCCACTAGGTGGCAGGGCACAACTGTGACTCCACAGAGCCACCAGGGTCACACCTAACCACTGCTGTGTGCAGCAGGGAGGTGGACCCAGGAGCAACTCCTTTATTCCAGGACTCATCCCCCTGTCAGCTCTGTTCCCAGCAGGGGACAGCAAAGCCACAGGTGAAGGGAGCTGCAGTGTGGGACCAGGGCAGCTTCTGGGGGAGCAGGCGTTTCCCCCTAGGTGGGGTGATTTCCTTTTGCTGGGGGGTGGGGTGGCCCAGCAAGGGTGTGTGCTGATTTGGGTATCCAGCAGAGGGATGGATTTTAGTGCTTTGTCCTTGGCTTTGAGACCAGTTGGAGCCCCTACATCAGAGGAAGTAATATCCTGGTGGTGCTTGTGGGGTGGCGGAGCCTGCCTTTCACAAAAGGGACATGCAGACCTCCCTTCCTGGCCCCCAGTGCAACTAGAGTGAGCTCATGTGACCCAGCCTGGGGGCTGATCTGGAGACGGAGGGTTTGACTGCATGGTGGAAGACAGGGACGGGAATCAAGTGAGTGGGAATGTGCAGGCAAGGCCCACCTGAGCTCCAGCTAGAGGGAGACAGCCCTGGGGAGGACCAGCTGCTCCTGGAACAGAGAGAGATGTGCGCTTTGTTGATACTGTGGGTGGGCTGAAGTCTGGAAACTTCCCATTGGCCAGGGGCACAGTTCCAAAAGATGTTTTTTTCTTGGGTGACTTCAGCAGTGGAGGAAAGTCTCAGCCTTCATTCCTGGTACAGTTGTCCCAAAGCTACTCTCTGTACACTGTCTCATGTGACTCCTTCCCCCAAAGGCTCATCACTACTCACAGGCAACCACCTCCTTGCCTGAGACAGTTTCTTCCACGCCCACTGTTGGTGGCCTCCGTGCAGATGCACTGCTCGGTGATGTGTTGCGTGGCCTGTAAGTGCCAATGCACTGGCTGCTGTGAACAATTTATTTGACCTGTTTTCTGTTGGTGCACTTTGGGCTTCTGCTTTTATAAACACACTGTGATCTTCTGTGACTGGAGTGAATCCATATTCTTGTGTGAGGATACGTTTTTGTACTAGAATGGCAGGGTCAAAATTCCTCAGGAATCCAGAGTCACTGGTGTCAAACCCTAATCAAAATAAAATAAAGACAGGACGTGATGATGAAAGGGACCTCACACATGTGCCTGATGACAAGAGCTGTCACACAAGACCACCAGACCCACACCCTGAAGCTAAGGCCTCATAGCCACACTCACAGAGTTACATCAAGAGGACGTCTGCCTGGCCACTGCCTGGCCAGGCTTGGACTATTGCCAGCCCTGTTATTGATCCCTGCAGTTAAGGATTATTGTTTCAAAACAACTTATGTAATCCCCCTTACTTTGCCTTTAGAAATTTCCCTGCCCCAGCTCCCTTGAATACGCACACAGATGGCAGGGCCTGTGCATCCCCACTGCGGTGTTCATCCTGAGTAGACTGATGCTGGGAGGGTCTCTGTGTTATTGGGTTGACAGAAAGTAAGTCCATGTACAGGTCTGGATGGATTTTGCCAAATTGCCCATTTCTAGTGATCACCTCGACCTCTGCCCCCCCACCCCCACCATGAGGAGAGCTCTATTTCCCATGCACGGGAACCACTGGCTGGATGTTGAGAACATTCTATAGTCTGCCTATCTGCTGAAAAGAGGGTGCATTTTTTTGCCAGTTGGGTGAACCTGGTTGACAAGGCCTCCAAATTAGTACCTGTGGGAGAAAACAGGCCTGGGGAGGGTACAGTTGGAGTGGGAGATGCTGGATTCCTGGGCAGTGACTACTGGTGTCCAGTTTTCATCTTAAACTTACTCTTGAAAAGTGACACTGGTCCAGGCTCCATGCTGTCTTGAGTGAGGCTTTGTTAGGGAGCCTGCAGGGGTGGCACCCGGCAGCCTGGGATGCAGGGAGACCACAGGAAGAAGCCTGAGGAAGAAGCTAGGCTTTTGTGCCAGCTTGGAAGAAGAGCTCATGTCAAGTAGCGGCCTGTGTAGCCTACCTGCTCCTGTGAGCCCCACACGGGGCTCCTCCAGGGCATACAGACAGGGTCTCTGTCTTGGGGGGCCTGGGAGGAGACAGGGCAATTGTGTTAGTCAGGACTCTCCAGAGGAATAGAAGCAATAGGCCAGCTCATGTTCCCTGTGCCCTCCCATCTCCACCCCTGTCTCTGAATGAGGCGGCTCTTCACACAGCTCTAGGGTAACAGCGGGAGGAATGGAATGTGGACCTTTCCCTCCTGGCTTTCCTTAGGTGTTCATTTCCCAGCCCTGTCTCCTGGAGCTCTATGGAGCCTCCACCCTGAGTTGTTTGGCAAAGCTGGAGTTTATGGTGCATGGTGCTGTTACTGCTGGGATTAGGGAGGTCTAGGGACGGGGCTGCCTGGCAGGTCTCAAGCAAGTTGGGGTTTAGTTTTGTGTTTGCTGTGCACCCCTGCTCCTCCCCATGTCCTTGACAAGGCTGTAGGTGCTTGTGTTGTTTCTGTGGACGTGAGGCACCCTAGGGTTTCATGGGTGGGGACTCACTTGCTCATTGGTGCTGCAGAGGGGGCCCCAGAGGTGATGGGCCCCAAGCTTCAGATCCAGACTTGACACATTAGAAACAGGCATCATGTGCATCCTTGGACACTTAGAGGATCTTGTTGGACTGCATATTCCTGAGCCATCCAGCTGGACACACTCTATCCCAGCTCAGCAGGGCTGCCAGCCCCGTCTGGTCAAATGGATGGTTTGCTGAGCCCACATAGTCAGGCACAGCTTGGGGAAGCACATCTGTGTATACTTCTACTCCAAATGTTGGAGCATGTATTTGTCCCAGGATCTGGATGCAGCGAGTGTATTATTCACAGCCCCGATATCTTTGAATCATGACAAAAGGAGTACAGTGAACTTCCTTTTAGTTCAGGAACTGTGGGGAATCACCTCATTTCACCTGGTCTCATTTTCCCCATCTGTAAGTAGTGCCTACCTTATAGGGTTGCCCAGGGATGAGCAAAGGTCATCGAAGAAACTCATTCATCACAATGCCAGAAACACTGCTTTGCAAACAAAACTTGGGGGGAAATGGCGGTATGAGTTCAGGATTTGTTATTGACTGGCGCTTAGCACAACACCAAAGTCTACCTGCCCATGGTATATGCTGTGAGGCTTCCTGACACCAGGAACAGGAAGCAACAAACATGGGCAACTGTGAACAAAACAAAACGACAGGAAACCTGGTTTGGATGTGAGGTGTCCCCCGCAAACTCCTTCAAGACAAAAATATTCAGAAGTAAATTGTTTGAATTATGAAAGCTGTAACCCAATGAGTTCATCCTAGTTTGAACAGACTGAGGTTACTGTAGGCAAGCGGGGGTGGGGAGGCATGGCTGGAGGAGGCAGGTTACTGGGGGCTTCCCTGGAACGGTTGTTCTCCCTGTATCCCCCTCTGCTTACTGACCCCACCACAAACTGAGCGACTTTCCACAGCTGGGCCCTTTCCCCATGGTATACTGCCTCACTTGGGCCCCAGCAATGGAATCAGCTATCTATGGACTGAGATCCTTGTGGGGTGTGAGGCCTGCTGCAGAGCTGAGACAGCCATCCAGGCCCCCCCTCAAACACCAATTCTTGTGATCATGTCAAATTTCAGACATGCTGCTCAGAGTATCAGGCATGAGTTTATTAGACGAGATAGGAAAAAGGAAAAGAGGACCCTTTCAAGGGAAAGAGTGGGAGCTCTTAGAGAGGAGAAGGATGGTGTATCATACCCTCCACTTTTATTGGGGTTCCAGGGAAGTTTCTATGGACTCTCACTCAGGTCTGCCTCTTTTTTTTTTTTTTTTTGTACCAGGGATTGAACCCAATGGCGATTAACCACTGAGTCACACCCCCATCCCTTTTTTATATTTTATTAGAGACAGAGTCTCCTGAGTTGCTTAGGGCCTTGCTAAGTTGCTGAGGCTGGCTTTGAACTCACAATCCTCCTTCCTCAGCCTCCTGAGCCACTAGGATTACAGGTATGCACCACTGTGCCCTGTGCTACTAGTTCTAATTGAAACATGTTCTTAACAGATTTTATGGTTGGGGACTTATCTTTATCTCCCTGAATTCTGGGATCTGGTCTGTGGAAGGGTCACAGAAGTCCCCCACCTGTCAGATTAATTTGTGTTCTTTCTATCACATTTTGGGCCTGCCTTTCTCCTGAAGATAACAGGTTGTTTGCGGAGGAATGTAACATATTCTGTCTGTAAGGTCAGGCACTGGTGACCCAAAGGAGGCAGATTAAAAGCAGCTGAACAAGGCTTTATTGAGATTTGCTCCCAGGTGAGACCCTCTAGTCCAACAGAGCGGGTCTGGGGGAATCGCACCCAGGCTCAGCTGGATTGGAATTTTATTGGGCTTGGAGCAGAAAGGGAGGGCTTGGAACAGGAAAGGGAGATTTTTAGAGTCCCTTGTCCTTCTGGGGTTGGTCGGGGGATCTTGCTGAGATCCATGTCCTTCCAGGATTGGTCAGGAGACCCACTGATTGACAGGTGGTGCAGGTTGCCTGGTGCTTTGTTCCTTTAGCCACCTCAAACTGACCTAACATCCCGGCCTTTTTGATGATATAAGGCACTGAATTCCATCTGGCTACTTCCTGCTGGCTAGGGGCGCTGGGGCAAAGGGGATGGCTTGAGTGTTGGTTCGGTAGGGGGGCGACGGTAGGGGTGTAGGAGCATCTGGTTGTAGGTCACTCTGGCAATTTCACCCTTGCGCTTTCAAGCAAACCTGAGGAACCAGGGAGCAATCATTAATAGAAGTCCTATTACTAACATAGGAGTGAGAATGGGAGTCAGCCAAGAAATGAGAGTAGAGTTCAGTCAGCCTGGCCAAGGGTCATTTGATTGTTGCTGTTTAAGCCTTTCACCCAAATGACAGAGGGTGTCGACATTCTTTTCAACCAATCTAGGGGAGTCAGTAGGGATGAGGAGTCACTGAGCAAGTAACCAGTCAATGATGGGTTTAAGTCCCTTCCTGTGGATTTTGGAGATGGGAAATTGGGGACACGAGGAAATTTAGTTTCAGGTTTCAGCTGGATACAGACTGGCTTGTGGTGGGTGGCTATGACCAGCTTGGAGGTGTCCCAGACCTGGGGATCAACTAGGTCAGGGAGCAACAGCACGGTAGATACTATCGGGTTATTAGAGACAGTAAGAATTAGGGGTGGAAGAAGATGGGTGGTAGTATTCTTGGGGTGTAGTTGAAGAGTGGCTCTACCCTGGGCTTGGCAAGGGTGATGGGGGTCCTTGAATCCAGGTTCTGCAAACCCCGATAGTTCAAGAGAAGGGGCCACCTGGCTGGTCAGACCTATGTGTTGAGGCACAGAGGAAGGGCCAGCCATGGGACAGTCACTCTTCCAATGTCCTGTCTACTTACAGGTGGGTTCTGGCCTGGAGTGGGGAGCCATGGGTTTGGGCATTGGTGAGGCAAGTGACCTTCGCATCCACATTTGAAGCAAGCCCCTGACGGAGAGGAATGCTGGGTCCCCCGTGAAGCTTTCTCTGGAGCCGTGGGCCTCAGGGCCACTACCAAGGCCTGGGTTTGAAGTGTTCCCTTTTTCTGCAATCGAGCCTGCCTGGCTAGTTCAGCCAATTCCTCCTGGGCATTATAGACTTTAAAGGCCATTTTCACCAGATCTCAGATAGGGGTCTGAGGGCCCTCTTCAGCTCATTTGAGTTTTTTCTAATATCATGGGCTGACTGAGTAATGAAATGGGTTGCTAACACTGTAGCCCTGGAGGGAGACCCAGGATCCAGCTGAGGGCCTCTGTCAGGCTGTGGATAAATAAGGCTGGATTCTCATCTGGATCCTGGGTGATTTCTCTCAGCTTATCAAAGTTAACCACCTTATTGGAAACTACCTGCAATGCCCACTATAAGATATGGGACCACGCAAGCACAGTGATGGTGACCTTGTTGGCCATCTTGGTAGTCACATTGGGGTTGGTTAGGGGAACAACTGCTTCACCTGTGGGGAGAGTTATATCTGTTAAACGAATTTGATCAGCATGATCTCATGTGGCCTGGTGGATGCGGGTTCCTCATCCGGGGTCAGGGAGGAGGAGAGAAAGACATCATGCCAGGTAAGGTCGTAAGTCTGAGGGAGGTATTGGAATCTTTAATATAAGTAAAAGAGTCCAATCTGGAAAAGATGTTGAAGGGAGAATGGGATGTGTACTCGGATAATCCCTTCAGTGCCAGCCACTTTCCTGATAGGACAAGAAGCTTTGGGTTAGCTGTTAAGAGGGCCTGGGGGGAACCAGGTGTGGGCACTGACAAAAGAGAGGAGTGAGTGGGTGGAGGGATCCATTGAGGTGGGAGGGGAAGGGGTTCTATCAGTAGAAGAGGTGGGCAGAGGAGTCATGGCTGCAGGAGAGGAGGGAGAAGAGCGGGAGGGTCCTGGAGCAGGGGAGAAGGAGCTGTGGTAGCAGGAGGAGGGGGAGGGTACAGGTGTGGGAGGAGAGGCGGGAGAGGACTGGCCTGGGTACGGAGGGGGAAGATGGGAAGATGGGGCTGAGAGCAGCTCGGGTAGATCTGGGAAGGAGGAAGAAGATACAGAAGAACAACAGGAAGGGGGTTGGGGTTTTCCCTAGCAGGGAAAACTTGAACAGTAGAACAGGTAGAGCGGAGGGAAGGATGGGAGCGAATCCCAAAAAGCCTAAGGAACTTCTGCCCAATTCCCTGTCCAGCAACAGAAATTGTGCAAATCAGTGAGGATTTGAAAATCAAAAGTTCC